AGAGAGGACCGAGAGACGAGAGAGCGAGAGAGAGAAGAGAACGAGAGAGAGAGGAAGAGAGAAGAGAGAGGAGAGAGAGAGAGAGCAGAGAGAGAGAGAGAGACGAGAGAGAGGAGAGGAGGAGAGAGATAGAGAGAGAGACGAGAGAGAGAGAGAGACGATAGGAGAAGAGAGAGAGAGAGAGAGAGAGAGGAGAGAGAGAGAGAGAGAGAGAGAGAGAGAGAAGAGAGAGAAGAGAGATGGACTGAGAGGAGAGACAGACGCAGGAGAGAGAGGAGAGAAAGAGAAAGAGAGAGAGAGAGAGAGAGAATGAGTACAAAAAGCACCTCTTCTTTTTCTGATAACGTCAATTGCTTGACGATTTGTTTATCTTATTATATTTATAATAATATGCGAATCACGGTTTCTGTGCTGATTAGTTGCTGAGCTATCTTTTCAGGGGCATTTTTCTGCACTGGATCGGTGATAATTAGACACGCTTTATTGATCGTCTCAAATGGGCTGAGTATTTTGAGGAGTTGTACCAGGTTGACCCACCAACAGTTGACTTGGATGCGGGTAGTGTCGAGATTCCGTTGCCGGACCCACCCATCACTGAGGACCCACCCTCGTTATCTGAAGTTAAGGGGCGATCTCCAGGCTGAAGAGTGGTAAAGCAGCGGGTATCTGCGGCATCCCAGCTGAAACGTTAAAGGCAGGTGGTGGATCTATAGCGCATGGGTTGCATGCTGTCCTGGCTGCCATCTGGCTGTCTAGTACTGTTCGCCCTGACCTGTTGAGGGGTGTGGTCATCCCTCTCTGGAAGGGGAAGGGGGACCGATGGGACTGCAACAATCGCCGAGGCATCACACTGATCAGTTTAATAGGCAAGGTCCTCGCTGACATCCTTTTGAGACGTATCGGAGACCACCTGCTGAGGCACCAGATGCTGGAGTAATCTGGATTCACTCCTGGTAAGTCCACAATAGACCGTATCCTGGCGCTTCGAGTCATTGTGGAGCGCCTAAAGGTGTTCGATACGGTGCTTCGGAAATCACTCTGGGTGAGCCTGAGACAGAGGAATTCGAACAAGGATTATTGGGCTAATAACAAGCCTGCATACAGGCACTGAAAGTACTGCAAGGTGTGGTGGGGGCCTGACGAGCTTCTTTCCTGTTAGTTCAGGAGTGAGGCAAGGCTGGGTCCAACACTTTTCAACACTACATATATACATATATATATATATATATATATATACATATATGTATATATATATATATATATATATATATATATATATATATATATATATATATATATATATATATATATACATACATACGTATATATATTTACATGTGTGCGTGTAAGTGTGTATATGCACACACACACACATATGTATATGAATACGCACACACGTGTACCTATTGCGAATCTTTGTATTTCTCGTGTACTATCCGTAATAAAGTTTTGACGAATCGATCGGGCCACTTTTTTATGTATTAATTAATTTATTTTACATCCAAGGATAATTTTGTCAGTTTGATGTTTTATTTCTAACCAAAATTAAATCTACAAATGAAATATAGAACATATTTATACAGACGTAAAATCAGAGACATCTGATCAGCGTAGCATAACTATATAATTTTTAAAATCTTTTATCACCAAAATTTTCCTTATCGCTGAAGGTGTTACCTGCTAGTATTCAGTAAAACAGTGTATAAAGGAGTGACTAAAAACTATTGTTGGTTCTTCAAACTTTAAGTCAGAAGTGTCACTTGCTGTTCGAAGTTGCTGTCACGCGTCATTGACAAGGAGAACGAGTACTGTGTTCGGGGTTTTAATCGCAAACTTCTAGAGATCTAACTTTGATGGCAAAATCTTTTTTTTTTTTTTTCATTTTTTAAGATGTGCTGATAAGTATTGTTTTTTATTCGTTTTAATAGTCTTTCGTAGCAAGATTACCATCAATTATGATATTGTTAGCATCTGTGTCATGTACAAAATGACGTATTAAATATATTGCGGTTGCTGGGATAGAATAAACATCATATTTATATCGAGTTTATTCAGTCTAGAATTACAAAATATGAAAAAGGTAAATGATAAATGTATACACCAAATCATTTGGATAAAAAACAATATTCCAAGCAGCTAAATGTATTATCTGAACCAAAGTTGCAGATTTGGACCATTGTAGTTATGCACATAAGGATACAGCTGGGTGGATACCATTCCAGTTAAACTGCAAAGGCTTCGTCAAATAGCAGTCTTTGCGGTTAATGTAACCACTGTAATGATGACTTGGAAATCAGCCAGCAGGAAGTATTAGCATTATTGTTCGTAAATGTGGATAAGAATCGGAAAGCCAGGCAGGGCGACGGCTATTGTGTGCAGCAATAGACTTCTCCGTTGTAGCCCGGTCGTGGACACCAATATGTACAGTCCTGTAAATACGGATAGAGTCCGCTGCCAGGGTAGTATCCTGTTCCTTGATATCCGCTGCCAGGGTAGTATC